ATGTATTAATATTAACCTATTATATAAGGTAGGTCAACTCTACTCTGACAAGGCAACTCTTCCCCAGTCTTATTTTGAGTGACTTCTAACCTGAGAGGCTCATCTTCCAGCACTATATCAGACAATATTCTGCTGCTATTCATAAGATTTTCACTTGCCAGTGTTTGGACACATAGATCTCCAAGTCCTTCTTCCTAATCTGTCTTAGTCTGGAACCTGTGCTGAAACCAATCTACCATGAATGACCTTGATGGTATTTGAAAGACCAGTGGCATAGCTTCCAGTATCACAGCAATATGCAAGCCATCACAGTATGACAAACTGACAGATGACTTTAATGATGAGGATGGAATAAGTTTTGGGGACCTTCATTTACTGATGTGGCATGACTCAAAATAAGAAGAAACAGCTACAAAAATCCATAAATAATTAGAAAATGAAATGTACAAAATGATGTAGAAAAATTGGAAGTTGTCACAATGACATGCTCTCCTATGCTAGAAATGACAAATCCAAGGTGCATGGCATCACATTCACTGTCAAAAAAAAAAAAAAAAGGTAAATGCAAGGAATACTCATAAACATTGAATGTGAATATAGGATTGTGCAAAAGTATAGATGCAAAAAGAAAAAAAAAAAAAAACTTCAAGATCTATCCTGAAGTACAGTGCTGTCATTGATGGAATAATATGCATATGCTTACAAGGAAAACCAGTTAATATGACCTATTCAAATTTATGCACCAACTATTAATGCTAAAGATGAAGAAATTGAAGATTTTTACCAAAATCTGTAGTCTGAAATAGATAAAAAATACAACCAGGATGCATGGATAGTTATTAGTGATTGGAAAATGAAAGTTGGAAACTAATAATGACTGGTAGATGGAAAATTTGGCCTTGGTGATATAAACAATGCTGAAGGTCACATGATAAAATTTTGCAAGACTAACTTATTCTTTGAAATAAAATCCACTACATGTGTGGAAAAAGACAATGGAGAAACCCAGTATCATCAATCAGAACAAGGCCAAGGGCTGACTCTGGAACAGATCATCTGTTGCTCATAGGGAAGTTCAAGTTGAAGCTGAAGTAAAGGCCATAAGAGGTAAAGTGTGACCTTGAGAATATGCCACCTGAATTTAGAGACTATCTCAAGAATACATTTGATTCATTGAACAGTAATGACTAGAGACCAGACAAGTTTTGAGGATGACATCAAGGACATGCTACACAAAGAGACCAAAAGTTCATTAAAAAGACAAGGAAGAAAGAAAAGACCAACATGGTGTAGAAGAGACTATGAAACTTCCTCTTGAATGTAGAGTAGCTAAAGCAAATGAAAGAAATGGTGAACTATAAAACTAAACAGATTTCAAATGGAGGCTCAAGAAGACAAAGTAAAATAGTTTCGTGAAATGTGCAAAGACTTGGAGTTAGAAAACCAAAAGGGAAGAACATGCTCAGCATTTCTTAAGTTGAAAGAACTGAAGGAAAAATCCACGCCTTGAGTAGCAATATTGAAGGATTATATGGGCAACTCTAAGGAGCTCTGGTGGTGTAGTGAATAAAGTATTTGGTTGCTAACCAGAAGGTCAGTGGTTCAAACCTCCTAGCTGTTCAGCAGGAGGAAGACGAGCCAGTCTACTTCCATAAAGATTTACAACCTGGGAAATCCAGTGGGAGTCACTATGAG